ATTGGTCATGTTACGGTCAGACGTGTTTGTTGCCGCTGATGGCCAGATAAGCCCAGAATCGTTTGACGTTACAAAATAGACATGCTGTTATTTATATAACGTGTTTGTCTGCATTTGGAGTAGGCATTTGAAACCGTACTTAAAGAGGTAAAGCTTGATATAGATGTCCTAAGAAACATTCGCTTTATAACTTTAACTAGTCTTGTTTCGAGCATACAGTCGCTTGCACGAAAAACCCATGCTGTGTTGTGTTACAGCTGTATGTCTATGCAAAATTACCGAGAAATCAGTATTGGATCCTCGACTCGATTCTCGATAGGCTAAGCTTGTTCTCGATTTAATATCTGTTACACATGTAGTTACCCGGGGTAGGGAAAACAAAGCGAAAACAATGAAGCATTAAACAGTGCATAACAAAAGCGAAAGCTAGTTTCAAAAACGCCCTTTCAAACTAGTTAACAATTTTGCGTTAACGCAGAAAAGGTGCGTGTGTTTTGCGTGTCCTTTGGTCACTTATCTCTGAGCTGTACTGTAATTTTGTGCTGCTACGCGATCAAAATATGCGAATGCTAGGGTAACCCTCTTGCTAGGGGTAACCGTAGCACCAGGGTTACCCTCCCTCCTTGTAAACAGGACCTAAAACTAAAATGATTACAAAGAATTAGTCGCAGGATTTGAGCCAATCAGAAACAGAGAAATATTTTGAATGAATAATGTAACATTTGTCATTCACTGTTTTTCTTCCCATTAACAGGGAACTTCTGAAGTAAAATGGTCCCTAATAAACTGTACACATACAGTGTAAGGCCCAGTTCATAGACCATGCTTCTTTGCTGTGCTGAATTTACTGCCAGTAATTTTTGAATTAACATTGACAAAAATATGACATGTCAGATAAACTCTGGCCCAACATCTGACTTGAAGCTGTGCTTCGATCTGTGGAGAACCTTACCCTGGGTGCCATAGGCTTTTCATGCGTGGTTTTTGGTTTCAGTCAAGTCTTAAAAAGTGACCCGCCCAAAAAATTCTCTGGACCAGACCGATTTCCCTTTGACAGTGCTGGGCCAATAACAAGTTCCCTTCTTATACCAAAACATCCAGAATGTGGATGTTTTGCTGACTGGTTCCTTGGAGATGTTGAGTGTTTCAAATGTTCTGATGGGATTGTAATCACAATAGGCGCGTGATCGAGACGCAGATGTTTTGAAGGTGAAAAAGATCAAATCCAAACAATCCAAGCACGCGTCATGTACGTTTTCGCTTTTTGGACGAAAATTGGAAATATCAGATGCCAGTATGAATGGAAGATTTATATAAGGCAATAGCCAAAGTCATTGTATTATTTGATGGTGAAGAGGAAATAAGTACGGAACTAAGAGAGAGCCTTCGTAAATAATGTTCAAAGCAAAGACATATTAGCGGGTAGATTACACTCTTTTTTTTTTATAAGAATAAATTTTATAAGAATGTCGTGGCTGAAATTTGCGAAATTTTAAGAATATTTTAAGAATAAAGCCAAGGCTGAGATTTTGAAAAGGATAGATATAATTTTGTGTGTTGAAACATCTGTAAATACAATACAATTTTATGTTTTTAACTTAACCGTATAAAGTTTTTCCTTTCTCTTAACGGCGAAACTAGCCAACAAAACGAAAAAACCTGCACTAGCTATAGCAAAATGTTCAACGCTAATGACAGTTCGATGAACGGTACATGTAATACATATACATATACCCCAATAAATTCTAAAATGGAAATGTCATAAGCTATAATTTAAGAATAATACAAGAATATTTTCAGCCTAAAATCGGCAAAAAAATAAGAATATTCAGCCTGGGCCGGAAAAACAACATTTTTATAAAAAAAAAAGAGTGTATGCTCTGGAGGGTTCTACGTTTTGACTGAGCAAATGTGCATTATTTTCGCCACTTGTTTCATACTGAGAGGTCGTGACGTGAATATTGATTTTCTGCAGTTTGTTTCTGGTCAGCATGATTTGCCTTCTGATGCGATAGCATTTTCTTCGATCTCTTTTGAAAATGTGTAGACTTCTTTTTTTGCGGCTAAATAAACTTTTAGGTTGTTTAATTTTCTGCAAAGTGCCTCCTGGATCGAATATCTAAAAGCAGTTTTCTTTTGTTAGTGAATGTGAAGGTTTCCTGCGACACATGTCCAATTTACACAAACAGACACAATCGTCAGACCGATGGTCCATTGGTACCAATGGTACAATTATTGGTACCAATAGAAAATGATGTCATTCCAGTGGTTCTGTTGGTGAATATGCATCTCATTAAGGGGACTTAGATTATTAATTTTTTGTCTTTGGCCTGGCTGGGTACAGGGTATTTACAATTAAGTTTGATATAGCAGAAGTGAAATGAGTGAACTGGGCCTGAAGAAATTTAAAATAAATTTTGTTTTAACTCATTAAGCCCCAGTATCCACATAAAAATTCTCCAAACTGATCTCCATACATTACCTTAAAGAATTAGTTGAGAGAATTTGATAATAGATCAAGGCATTTTCTCTTGGGTGATCATTTAATAAATTCACATAACTTATCTCTTGACAGTGTAATAGTATGGTTATTGCTATGAGAAATGTGATCTCGGTCACTATTGGGACTTAAAGGGTTAAAGAATGTGAAGGACTTTGATTGTGACATGTTGTGTGTACAAATATTAATTTATATTTAATATTTGAAAAAAACAATATTGTAAAAAATAATTATATAAAATTTCTATTTTATTTTGTCAGAAATTGTACTGAAAGAACCCACTGATGGTCTACCTTGGTCGTGGCATACTACAAAAACGAGTAGTAATGGTGCAGGAGTAAGCAATACCCAATTTGTGACTAACTTCAATTTCGTTATAATAAATTTAGAAATGTATTTTAAAACAAAATTCAAATATATTAAAGAAACTGGACATTTCGATAGCTAACTAGGTATGGATGAGTTTTATTTTAGTTTGAAATGGTTGCTTAATACAAGAATATCAGTACAAAAAGTATTGATGTTTTTTTAAAGCATTGTGGGGGGAGTGGGGGGGGGGGCTATAATGTTTTTAATTGCCAAATATTGTCTGTACAGTAGGTCAACAGTAAGGTCAACAGTCGGTAATAGACTTACAGTGTAAATGTATGTGAAATTTATCACCAGCTTTCGGCGCAACGGCTGACTGTTAGCCAACAGACCGGCTGGCAGTTGGCAGCATGTTGGTAATGTGTCGGCAATGGGTCAGTAAAACTATTATTGATGTGCATTGTCTTATATAGTAATTAATATATACATTACTTTGCAAAGCAAAAAAGGAAGACTCTATAGTATGAATGTGACCAACCCAAAAACAGGCCTTCCGATAGGGTGCGATGAAAAATCAGAAATTATGCAGCATTTTCAGGGCAGATTGTGTGATCAGATAGGGCTATTATGCGATAAATTATGCGATTTTTTCACGGCTAATTTACATTGTTTTGCCAGGTTTCAAAGGAGAATAACCACTTAAATGTTGTTTAACAGGCAATTTGAATGTAAAGAAATAATAAAACATTTACATGTATTTTAAAACAAAATTATTAAATTTGTCCCATTACCAGGTAAGAAAACAATTAGAGAGAAAGAATAAGGACACTTGTTTAATATTACATGACACTGTTACACCACTGACCACACTGCTTGTCTCTGAAATCAAAATGGCTGCTTAGACACCGCGACCGAAGGTTTCAGATGTCTTGCAAGGCTTTCTTTAGTGGTAAATCACCTTAAATAACATAAAGATTGGGAAAATGTTTCATTTAAGTTAGAATTCATTGTTTACTTTACTTGAATTTTGCATTTTATCTACGAATTCTGCGATTTTCCTCAAATTGTGCGATTGGATGCGATTTGAGGTCAGTTGTGCAAAATCGCACCATCACGTAATATCAGATGGCCTGCAAAAATTGAAAAATGCTGGGAAGAAAAATGCAAAATTATTATTATTATTATTATTATTATTATTATTATTATTTTTATTATTATCATTATTATTATTATTTTTGTTACGGTCCACCATATTGTAAACTAGATATTATATTTTACAATGGAGGTTCCAGTTCTATCACATCGCGTACAGTAAAGGCACTAAAACAAGACTTTCAGAGCATAATAAAGAAGCAAGTCAGAGATTTGTTTAAAGGACATCAGTTTTTGCAAAGGGGAAAACCATCTGTTACATTTACATAATGTAACATAATCTGTACTATTGGTCTTCAACTTTTGCCAACTTTAGCTCATAATAAAGGCACCAGAACAAGACTTGTAGAGCATGGTCAAGAAGCGAGAGATTTATTTCAATGGCATCAGTTTTTCTAAGTAAACGTTGAGGGAAAACCATCCATTAATATTATCTAAATTCTTATTGGTCATTGACTTTTATAAACTTGATGGCTAGTGGGGTGTTTGTAAATAAAGCATCAAGTGCTAGTCAAGTGTGTCAAGTAGCATCAAGCACAAGTGTGTGGAGGCAGCATGGCCGAGCAGTTAGGTTGTTGGACTTGTAATCCAAAGGCCCCTAGTTCAAGTCCCGCCCTGACCACTAGCTGGAATTGTTGTTGGTAGTCATGAGTTGAGATCCTTGGTAATGCCTAAAAAATAGCCAATTGATTTGCCCCCTACTACAGACTAGTTGGCATTCTTTAATATAACTTTGTTATGTCCCATTTTCAAGGGAGTAAATTATTTGTTTTATTATTGTTATTTATAATTTTAGTAGTGGTTAATTAAGTACAGGACTGGTGTATTTTTATTTCTTACTTTCTTGTAACTATAACAAACTGCTAGACTGTTCTTGCAATTTGCCTTGTGTATACATGTACTTGTGAATCATGGTGAGAATTTGTTGATAGTTCGGGAGTTTCTGGTGTACTCCTTGTAGTACATGTAATTTGAGTTATGAATTGATGTGTTACCTTTCAATTTTCTTTAGTGGAATTTAGCAGCAAGCCAGAGGGCATATTCAGTCTGCGACATTACTATTGCAAGCCAACCGACTAACTGGCTAAGATCAGATTTCATTGATGTCAAGGATGCTAAAATGCTGAATGTTGAACTGAAATACGCACTTCTTGGATGTCCACCATCTTCCAGTCCTTTCTGCAATTACAAATTAAGCATTTATGTGCTTCATGTAGAAAACGAATTAGTTGGGGTTGATTTAGACCCTCTCAGGGGTAATAAAGTGACATACCAAAAGGTAGAAACAATTGTGCCAACAGTCCTGCCTGGAGCTATGAAAGCAAAGGAGTATGATTATAACAGGAAAATCATAACCAAAAAGGGAGGTGTGTATCTTGCATTCTTAGACCAAGGAGCCTGTATGTCATTATCAAGTGTTATTGTGAGCTACATATATTGCTCCGAGGAGCAAGTAGGAGTTTTGGTGAGATTTTCAAGGACAGCTGCTCCTGTGAATGACTCTCATCTGGAGGAACAAACAGGGCGTTGTACTGATGTGAACTCAATTAACAAAGTGAAACTGTCGGGAGTGTGCCTTAGTAGTGGAGAATGGAATATCACTGATGGAGTCAAATGCCTCTGTAAACCTGGCTATCAGCTTGTTAATGGATCTGAGGAAAATGTCCTGGAGTGCAGTGGTAAGAATTGTATTTCGCTTTTACTAATTAAATAGTAGTCAAAGATTATGGTGCGCAGTCTTTAAGGGCCTTAGGCACCTAGCGGGGTTACATATTAACAATAGTCAAAAATTTCCTGATCAGGCTTTGATCTATGAAATGCATGTTCAGAAAGAAAGAGATTAACCTACGAAGTATTTAAGAAGGAAAATGATTTTTTGTTATTGCCATGTAGTTTTGAAAGCAAGTTTAGTCACTTCACAAAGCCATCAGGAACGTTGCATGTATTAAAGATGCATGGCATGATGGTATTGATGGTATTGTCAAGAATTTCAACTGTCAACCTCTTTTCTTGATTTCTTGCGCTTAGAAACATGCACAGACTGCCCACGGAATCAAAGAACACCCAAAGACTCAATTAGAGAGGGACTTATTTTGTTCCTCTGGTTTTTTGTTTTGCATGCAAAATGGCCACTTAGGCCAAATGTTAAATTTTCATGTGACTGAATCAAACTGATTGAGTTACGTTTGTGATAAGCTTAGCAATGTTGTGGGGTTGTGGTGTATGCCCATAAAGTGTTTCACACCATGATTTTTTTTCATTTGAACTTAGTTCGATACTTTGTCAAGTTTGTTGTTTGACCCAGCAGTCAGTCTGCTCAGTCTACTTCTAGTGTTTGGATTAGCCTGTGTTGCAGCTGGCCTGCACACTCGTCTAAACCATTTATATAGTCCGTTTGTGAATTAGTGCACAAAAGCTGGTTCTAGTATCCTGAAGAGTTGCAAGGACATAATTATGTGAGTGTTTCTGATAGGCAGTTTCTTACGGGTTTCATGATTGGCCTAATTCTTATGTGTGTGTGATTGTTGGGTGCAGTGACTTGTTAAAATGACAGAAGGGAGTTGGCAAGGATCGTTTACTGTAAACGATGAAAAAGGTTTTGGAACCTTTAAAACCTCCTTCTGAACAATGCTTGGAGAAATTCTTCAAGGCCAGAATTTGCTTGTAAATTTGCTGACTGGTTTTCCAGCATGTCTTCCAATCTCTGCAGAAGCACTACCACATATTCTGCAATCTAGCCGACAGTTCTAACGTCAAATCAGGAAATCAAGATAATCAAGGCCAAAAAAAAAAAAAACCGGCATCCATGTGGCTATTTTTTTTTACTCTAGGTCCAGGAATTTCAGAGGAAATCAAAGTTATTTATTTAACCACCATAAAAAAGCTTAAGGCTTAATCATAGGTTATTTTATCATTTCATGGTTAACTGCATCTCTGATCAAATCTTGTCGGAAAACAGCTGCAGAAACGTAAGCCACAGGAACTAATTACAGATCAGCTTTATAACCTCTAAATGCGAGACTCAAAGCGGCATTCTCAATTGTACATTACAGAACTGCATGAACTACGCAAAAAGAGAGCAAGAAAAACCTCTGGTGTTCAAGCTGACTTTAAGGTTACGTTTCACACTATCATGAGCTCAGTCTCTCTTGTCACGAGCTATTAATATATTGTGATTGGCCTGTCAACACTTAATTCAAATCGGAGTAAATCACAAACTGTGTAAGAAACTAGCCAATCAAAAATGCCAACATATGTCTTAATTTGCGACTCTGCAGGGTTTATACACGGTATTGTGCACTAATTCGCAGACACTCTATTGGTGGTTTTCACCGTCACACCATCGAAAACTAAAATCAAAATAGTCGAATGTCTGAAGCCAAGAATTTCAGATATTATAGAATATTGATAAATTAACAACCCGGCCCAAGTCTCGCATCTGTGCAGTTTCCCACTGCTGAGTTGTTTTTCAAAATGTGTAACAGAAATTTATACATGCAGGGCTCACTATGGGGACGCCATATTTGTGCTCCTCTGAGGAGCACAAACAATGCATATTGTAAGGCGGTCAGAAATAATGCAAACATCTAGTGTCAGTATCGCCACAAATTTGATCAGTTGTTCATTGCGAACGAGCAAATTATTCCCCTAAACACATTTATTAATACTTTCACCATTCAAAGAGCATAATATCATGCAATAAAATTATTTTTTAGCATGTGACGGCCTTCTCAGTCGCCATATTAGCGTCATGTGGAGTAACCTTGGGAAATTAGAAAGAGCTACATATACATATTTTCAAAATGGAAAACACTATCACATTGAAAACTTGCACAGAAGTTTATTTTTAAGAGACCTTTTGCTAGATGGAGATAGAACTTTAAAAGTCCTTGCGATTTTGGAGTTTGGATTGTTGTGACAACACTTGAAAACCAAGAATACCGAAGGTTCAGAACATCTGCGATGCAAACAGTGTTTGGATAGTCTAAACGTAAAATGCTCTTATTAATCCTACATGTAGAGTGTCTGAGGGGCTTTTACAAGAGTGTTGCAAACAATAGTAAATGCGACAAGTGTCCTGCAAACTCAGCATCCAATACTAGAAGAACAGGCTGCTTATGTAATGATGGACTCTACAAGAAATCTGAATTAGCTCCTTGTAAAGGTAAATACATGTACTATACCCAAGACATATGCAGGTTCAGTTTATCTTTGGTTCGGTAATTAATTTTAATAACCCATAGGCAATATCACCCACTGAATTGATGGGTTATTAACCCTACATCTTCAGAATATTATGGTAAGCGTCAGCTGGTTGCGAATTAGCTGGGGGATTGGAGCCAATCAGAAATGGCATAATATTTTGAGTGGATGATTTTTATTTCATTGGTGTAAAACTCATTTACTTTCTCACAGCATCAAGACCAATGCATGTGATGCATCAAGACCAAAAAAAATCAAGAACTTTCCTGATATGATATGTTTTGTATAATTACTTTCCTAAAGACTCAGGGCTTCCCTGGACACTGTACCCTTTAAGTTGAATGGGCCACTCTATAGGAATAAACTGTAAATGTAGTGCTTTACTTGACATCTGATATTACTTTACTAGTACCATAATAATATAATGATAGTACATGTACTTACGGTCCAGGTCACAACAGGGTGAACTATGTGGATGATAAAATGTTTAAAGCAATTTGCAACTTCAAAGAAAACGCAAATCCTACTGCCTTGTACCATGATTTTAATACCCTTTTGTTATGTAAGTGACTAGAGGTAATCATTGATTACGGATCCACTTCCGTCACTTATGGAAACGAAATTGAGTCAAAAGGAGTCCAGTTTCCCGGCCAAGATGCCCCTGATAAAATAAGTGGGGGCGGCTAATCGACAGTTGCCCCCGATACCTCGAAAATCTGTGGCTTGGAACACTTCAAGATTAGGATGCCTTCTGACGAACGCAAATATTGCCTAATATTAAAACAAACTTTACAAACATAGTTAATTGTTTACGTCCATTGCGTCAGTTGAAATCACATCTGTGTTGTTCGCTTAGCTCTGGCGTGCACTGTAATTGCACTGCTTAACCAATCTGAATGAATTGTCACCTTTACCCAGCTTTGCCAGCGGCACCACTCTATGCAAATGCTACTGTGGTTAAGGCAACGGATGTTGTGATTAAGTGGGAACGTTCACCTGATGACAGTGGTGGGAAGTTAAGATATGCTGTAGACTGTTTCAAATGCAAGTCCAGTAATTACAAGGATTGTAACGAGCCATGTGGACCAAAGTTAAAGTATATGCCAAGCCAAGAAAACATCATAAGTGTTAGTGTGACAATAAATGGCTTGCCTCCTGACAGCTTCCTCAAGTTTCGAGTTTACTCTGTCAGTGAGTTGAATGAACAGGAGAAAGATAGAGATAAATGGAAATATGTTATGGTATCAGTAAAAACTAAAGGTAAGAAATAGTATTATTATTATTATTATTATTATTATTATTATTATTATTATTATTATTATGAATAATAATTTATTATTAATATCAGCACCATCTAAACTGTAGAAAATTTTTATCTCCACCACTCCCGCCACAGGTTTGAATGATCACTGTAATGATCACTGTAGTGTAAAGAAAAATTCAGAAGTTTTGTTGAAAATATACATGATCGAGTTTGAAATATGACTCGGTAAGTGGAAAAATGCACCAAGTATTGGCTCAGGCATTCAAGCTTATAAAAAGTAGCAATGTAGGAAAATTTGTCCAGTGTATAGGTTTATTCACAGCGTTGAGTTGGAAATTGTATAGTTCTACTATGTAACTGTAATTTGATGAAGCGAGTTGAAAATACACAGCAAGCAAGGTCAAATAAAAGAGTTGGGTTTAAAAGCTAATTTTGAATTTAAAATTCAAACCATAAATTTTGGCGGGGATTGTACACCATACGGACTGAAAAACATTTTCACAGCTTGCCAAGCAGTCACCTCGTGTGGTGGACAGTGGATAATTTATTACAAAGTAACTAGTTCAGAGGTGAAAAGTGAACCAGCAGGGAGAATAAAATTCAATAACTGAAAAAAAAAAAAACTCATGCCTCTTTGTTTTTCTCACATATCCTATTTGTCCTTGCAAAATCCAAGCGACACTACCTGCATTATTCTGTAAATTCTTAACCAACAACAATGTGTGCTGGACTATCGATCGAATTGATCAAGTTTATAGATACATTTATTTTTCCGGGTGAAGAGAATACTATAGTAGTTGTCAGTGATCCTGATAACAATTACTTGAGAAAGTGCCAGATTTATCAGAGTTAAATCTATTCAAGAGAGCTTTTAAATAATATGAGCTTACATTGTGTACCTATCTGATTATACAAATTCACAATTCAGTGATAACATTTAATTTCACTTCGCTTATTTGAATCAGTAAAGACCTTAATTGAAAGTCAAAATTCAAATGAGCCCAATAAACAAATTACATCCATTGCTGAGAGCTCTTTACATTAAGGCAGCCTTAACTTTCCTTAGGTTTGCAGCAAAACACTCCTCAATATCTTAACTCTTCGGTGACTGTTTCAGCTATACGTTGATTATGCTGCATAGCCTGTGAACAGGCTCTCTGTTTAGGGAAAGTTAAGAAAATCATGAGGGAAGGGGAAGGGGAAGAGCCAGTAGAAAAACCTATGAGGCTACACTGTATGTGTTGAATACTTTAAACTCTACAAAGAGAAAAAAGAAAGAACACAACATACACTGCGTCTGAAAAGCGACATATAATCAGCAAAGTTGCAATTTAACAAAATAAACAAAATGTAATAGTGAGAAACAATCCCGCCTTCAACCACCATGATTTTGTTCCTTCTCAAAATCGTTTACATTGTACCTTTGGTTTATGATGTAATGCGCAACATCAGTACACAAAACTGCTGGCAAAGACCCTTGATTATTGCGTTGCAAGTTGTGAGAACATCATTTCCATTTCATTTAAGAGAATGTATGGGAAGTAACTTCCCTCCCCCACCTCCCTGCGTGCACGCAACCTACAGATTAGTCACTAATAGACCTTTCCGGCATTACGCTCTATTGAGCAAACGTAAAGAAATGAGGATGAGGCTGGGGTGGACAATTTCATACAAAGGTCTATCTGCAAGCAGATAACTAACTAATCTGTGGGTTGAGCTTGCAATGTATGATTTCCAAGAACAAACTGTGTGTGCTGTGTTTGTCCTAATTTTGTTGAAAACACTGTACAGGGCTGCGAACATTTTTTTTTTTCTCTTGGAAGGACATATGTCCCACTAAGACACCATCTTGGTTGGACGAACAAAGTTTTAGTTGGACATCACCATCACCATGTACATAATGCCAATTACAAGTCATTATTCTCAGTAGAACCTAGTGTAAGTGAAGAAATATTACTTGAAAATAGCAACATCACTGTTTCATGTAAACAAATTTGTCCCCAAGCATTACATTTTTATCAAAAGTTACAGGCAAAAATAATGAACTTTAAGCCAACAAGTTTTCAAAAACCTCTATTCTTGGCTTGCAACCACGTGACAAGGCGGTCATATTGATGGTGTGTTGAAGGTCATTACAATAGAATGTTTTTTTTCGAAGAATTTACATGAAAATGGGGTTTAGTTCCCGGAGGAGAGAAATGCTTTTGTTCTTACCCCTAACACACCACCAATATGGCTGCTGTGACGTCAAGTGCAAACCAGCAATTGTAATCCATTTTAATCTTCTTCAAGTGTGTCTATCTGAGCCTCCTTCTGTGTTTGCTCTCTTGTTTATACCTTCCTCAACTGATGTGAGTGGTTACTTTTATGTTTCAGTCAATATGGTGGCGGTTTCATCTGTTTAAATTTTGATAAATTTCGTGCCACAGCTCCTTTATAAAACATTGATTTCATTGAAAACTTAAAATGATTTAAATAGTTTGAAAACAGGGCAGCTTACCTTTTCTTACTATCTAATTTTCCAGCAAAATCCTGAGTCTTTGAGCGCTTTAGTAGTACAGTCCTTAGTATACTGCGGTGTTCAAATTCTATCTCAGTCTACTTAACTGAGTCTCCTGTATCGAAAGGGTTGCCTCTTAAGATAGATCGATAACTGAAGGTTGAACGTTCGATGGTAATGTGATACAATCCTCAGATGTCCTGTGATGTTATCGAGAAGCATTATTATGGACTCAAACTTGGCATGATCGAAACGATCGATTTCACACTTTCAAAATGGACGCCAAATCGGAACCTGAAAGAGCATGTGCAAAGCAAAGACCCGCTGACCAATTGCTTTGCTGTATTGTTTCATTTCCAGGCCTCGTTCGAACGTATAACCCCCAGGCAGGGACGTCCAGGTTTTCTACCTTTTCCTCCTCTGACAGAAGCGATACGCGGGAAGCGATAAAGGCAGTTGAAAAAACAACGTAGTTTTTGTAGAAAGTTAGTCAATACTCCGTTGAAATTAAGTAGCCATAGTTTTTCGAGAATGCCGTCTGTCGTTCATCGTAAGTGAGAAAAGAGTTATCATGCATGTTCTCT